GACGGCACTGTAAAAGATATTTTAAGGCCTGAAATACGGACAATATAGCCCTTCAAAGTTGGCAAATTTGTATACTTTTGTATTACGTGCGTGAATTGATAACTAAATTAGTTACCAATTTCCACACGTAATAGAAATGTATACAAATTTGCCAACTTCGCAGGGCTATAATTTCCGTATTTTACAACATTTCGCAACCAAACTTTGCAGTTTTTCTAATTTTGATAACTTCTTTCCAAAAATATCCTTTGTTATTCCCAGATTAAAAATTTTTCTAAAGCGCAAGTCATCCATTTCCATCTACAAAACCCTTTCAATTATTATTCACTCTAGTGAGATTACATTATTCTTCAGTTCACTCCCCATTAGGCCTTTTCAGTGACCGATTACATCAAGTATTACGCTTACTTGTGTTACTTACTTACACGGCAAGAAACGCCGAGACCGTTGCTCAACAGGATTGAACAATGTTTTGCTGCCCACGTTGTTCACATTTGTCAACAATATTGAACAATGTTGTTGAGCCTGAATCGGGTGTAACAATATTGTTCAATGTTGTTGACAGCTATGAACAATGTGGGCAGCAAAACATTGTTCAATCCTGTTTTCATCAGTATTGCATCAACCTGAGCGTTTTTTGCCGTGTAGCCAAGACTATTTATCTTACAACAATTGTGATTACTTTCTTAATTGTGTTTATCCTAACCCACCCTGTCAACTTTCCCTGTGGGAGCAGGGCGTGAAATAACGGCCGGTCAACGGACAATGCATGTCCGGCTAGAATGCGGAGTTGTCCGGTCGAATTCTTACCTTGCCGATCATTTTGACTGGTCACTTTCGGTAAAAGAACAAACTAATAATCTTCATTTTTAATTAATAATCAAATAAAGTTGTCAAGTATTATAATTAAGAACCATAACATATTGTCAAATATTTTGCGGGAAAACAACTTCAATGTACGGCAGCTTTCCCACGCAGTACGTCATAAAGTCCATGGTCATGCTTTTGGCTTAAGAGTTAAGGCCATGCTTTTAGCGCAGTGCAAGCTGTTTTATGTGAAGGAGTTTCTAATTACTGATTACAGTAAGGCTTTTTGTAATGCTATACTGGGAAAATAGTCACATTTTTAGGAATATACTTTACTAGGCTTTGCTTTAAGCTGAATAATTTGACCGGCCAGAAACTTGGTATATCCGAGCAAAAATTGAGTTGGCCTGTGACCCTCCAGTCGTTATTTCGCGCCCTGGGGAGGAAACCAAAGCACCTGGAGAAAACCCGCGACTTTCGGCAGAGCGTTGACTGACTCTTTTCACATGAGTCCATAGCGAGAATCCAACCCACGATCTCAGAGGTGAGAGGCGCTTCCTCTGACGACTGCGCCACTGAACACCCCTAAACACCCCTAAACAAACTTGTTTTCCACTACAGCTGTATTTTTGCCGTTAGTTGGCCGGCCAAGGTGGCAAAAAGTGCCTCTAAAGAGAGTTTGATGGCAACTTTATGTTAGAAGCTGGTAACAGGCATTTTCTTATAGTTCAAGCCTTGGTGAATAAGACTGTGTGTATTACCACTTCTGATTTTTGCTTTATAGCCAAAAAATTGAGAATTTTAAAATTTTGCCTATTAAATTACTACGATGGCAAAAAATGTAAAATTTCATGTTCTCTTATACAAAAAATAAACTATACCACTAGAAAGATCGCAAAAAACTATATATAAGATAATTAAGCGACTAGTGTGATTTTCAAGCCGATTTTGAATTAAAAATGGTTAAAGTTGGCAAAATGGGTACTAATTAGCATTAATTTGGTCATTTCTGTATTTTTTAACATTAAAACCTCGAAATAGGATTGGAAAAACGTAGAACTCACTTAATTGTCTTATATATAGTTTTTTACGATCTTTCTAGTGGTATAGTTTATTTTTCGTATAAGAGAACATGAAATTTTACATTTTTTCCGATCATAGTAATTTAATAGGCAAAATTTAAAAATTCTCACATTTTTGGCTATAAAGCAAAAATCAGAAGTGGTAACACATGTAGTCTTGTTCACCAAGGCTTGAACTATAAGAAAATTCCTGTTACCAGCTTCTAACATAAAGTTGCCATCCAGTTGTACAAGTTGATGACTTGGCCGGCCGTCTACGTGGGAACTGGTTAAATTATTTTGTCTTATAAACTCGTCGCATTCAACCTCGTCCCCAGAAGTCGCCAGGGCATTTCTGCTCCATATTTGTTCAGAATCAAGGAGACAAGAGAGGAAGTTCATCAGTGGAAAACCCGCATTACGAGACTGTACAATGCTCTCCTATAAACGCCTGTTCGCAGGCTAATACAATGCTTACTGGATACACTTTGAGTCTCCAACACAGACCATTCACTTCCAAACAGTCACTGTAAACAGGGTCAGCTTTTCGCCTCACAGAACTAAAGAAATAACGTTACTGGATGATCAGATTGATATACAGCTTGATCAAACGTTATTGCTTGATCACATTAAAATCTCATGCTTGCATGTACTTGCTTCCCTTCTGTAGGACTAATATTAGAAAATTCTCAGTTATTTACCAGGCTCCAAATGTTTTTAATACTCTAAGCCAAGATATTCGTCAAGCGTCAACCGTCGCTTCGTTTCAAAATAAGTTAAGAAAATACCTGTTTTCCATGTAATTATTCACAATCAGTTAAATCTAGTTTACTTTGTTCTCCCTATAATTACTTACGAACAGTACTATATGCTAATGCTATATTATTATGAACTATATTATTACCAACAGTATTATTTATATTATATTATATTATATTGTAACCTAATTTGTTATATATTTATTACCGTGACACTCGCTCCTTGTCTATCAGATATTTAAGAAAGGAGCCCAAATTTTATAAGCCTTTTGGTTTCTTTTTGGGCTACCTTGCTATACTTCATTATTATTCCTAATTTTAAAATATTTGTATGTGTGTAATGTAGTGAATAAATTGACTTGACTTGAGATGCAACAACATTACAGGGACGTACCTGAAGTTGGAGATACAAAATGTACTTGTTTCAAACAACGGAACAATCTCACTAAAATAAAAAAAATATTATCAACCTCTCACAACAAAACATTTAGGCATTTTTTTGTTAAGAAACTTTAAAACATGGAAAATCTATTTTAAGACGGAGTTACCTTGTAAAATCTGCAGGAATAGGTGGGGAAACAAAGGATCCGATTGGCTTCTTGTGAATCTGGAAACGAAATGATTTTGTCAGTCATTCTGCATCTGATCATTGAGGCTTATGTAGGAAAAGCTTGGATAAAATGTAGATGATAGAACTATTGAGAAGATCATATTAAGCCACAAACCTCGTTAAACTTGACAAGAAGGTCACCAGTATTTGTGATAAGCTCGCTTTTGGAACAGGAATGAAGCTGGAAGAGAAATGAAGCATCAACAGGATTTCAAGTACTTGTTCATCGGAGTATTTTGAGTGTGTAGACTGTAGAGTCAATTATTTATGTGATTAACAAGAAAATTATCCTCAGAATACCTGATCTTCAACCTCTTGTAGGTGGGATTCCAATAATTCTGTTTCATGTATTAATGAATTCTTTTGCCCTGGAATGAAATGAAAAACAGTAAAATGAAGTAATAGAATGCAATGTATAATCATGTTGAACCAAAGAAAATACAATGTATAATGCTGCCAGTTGATTTGAACCAAAGAAAATACAATGTATAATGCTGCCAGTTGATTTGAACCAAAGAAAATACAATGTATAATGCTGCCAGTTGACTTGAACCAAAGAAAATACAATGTACAATGCTGCCACAACACACATACCCATTAAAACAAGCAGTTTACTTTTCAATTGTGAATCTAATCTTGCAATCATGAGTTCAACTGCGTTATGAATTTCTCGAACACGCTGGAAGGATAAATTTAAAACGTTATGATCTTACTTCATATCTCAAACAAGAAATGATTCTCAATATATTACCTCCTCTTTGCCTTCTCTTAAGCTTTCAACATTTCTTTCCTGAAGGAAAAATACACAAGATGAGCAGAAGTTGGAACCTAATTTATTCACATTTACTCACGCTACCTTTCTATGTTTACAGTAGTAAAACAGTGGTAACTAGTAACAGTGTTAATATAGTAACTTTCCATCCTTTAAGACTTAATTAATTCACATGTATCTGCAGTTTGCAGTGGACGTTGCCTTGTGTAGCATATAGCCCTTACTGTTGATAAATGTCAATGTTATAGTTTGTTATATTTGTTAACCAGGGTCCACAATAATTGGATTATACTTTTGTTGTGTCCCGTCATTCATTGTTAGATTCAGTGACGTATACATGTTCCGCTGTTATAATGTCATGTTTGTTTTGGCAAAGTTTAATAAATAAATATGCAGCAGGTAAAACAAAAATGATAGAACATACAACTTCTTGCACAAGACTGATCAGCTCCATAAGTCTTCGCCTCAATGATGCAACCTACAGAAAAGGAAAACACAACCATATCTTGTGAGAAACTTTTGACACAGCCTGCAAAATGTTCAGATAACATTTTCATACCTCATCTGTGACCAATGAGACATGCTGATCATAAACTTCATCAAGTTGTTTAAAACTATGACCTGAGTGCTGTGAAATAATGCAATTTATGATTTAATGTTACATTCATTCCACCACTTGAATTTGTTAAACTGGAACATCATACTTGATTTAGCGCTTACCTGCCCTGCCCACAGTGCACACTGATGACAGATACAAATCTTACAAGTGCAACAAAAAACACTCAATTTCTCATTGTGTTCTTTGCACCTGAAAAAATAACAACAAAGTATGTAATCTATGTACTTCATAGATGCATTCAGCTTTACGAAAGATCACAGCTCACCAGTCTTTTTCCTGCTTTACAGTCGGCCGTGCCTGGGCTTGTTGTTGCAGTGACGTCAGCCGCTGTAGAAAAATGACATGAACTTATCATCTTATTACAAGTTAGTTCTGGAAGAGGTAAAATGCTGTACCTGTGTAATATCTTCAACCCAACGACAATGAACCATTTCTTGTAATTGAAGTGTGCCTCTAAAACATCATTTCCACACATCAGTCATGTCAACAGGAATTGATCTGATATGTGTAAAATACTAGCGAATTATAATTTCATTGAGTGGCAG